GGTATTCAGCGAATAGTTATATTTACATACTTTTCTTTCTGGATCCTTGAAAATATATTTTCCTTTTCTGTTTTGGCTCAAAATTTTGGGTCAAAGTGTTTTTAGAGAACCTCATGTGTGCTATGGATTCTCCCTACCAAAAATGTATGCAAACTCAATTTCTGCCTCAGTAGTTAAAAAACAAACTGGTTTCTTTCTTGACTGAAAACTCCAGGTCTCCTTCCTTTTTTTAAAATTTCTTTAATGATTTATTTATTTTTGAGAGAGAGAGATAGAGAGAGAGACAGAGACAGAGAGAGAACAAGCAGGGAAAGACACACAGAGACAAGGAGACACAGAATCTGAAGCAGGCTCCAGGTTCTGAGCTGTCAGCACAGAGCCTGACAGGGGAGCCGAAGTTAGATGCCCAACCGACTGAACCATCCAGGGGCTCTTCCAGATGTCTTCTCTACACTGTTTTTATTTTGCATTTACACACACACACACACACACACACACACCCACACACCCTGGACTTGAGGTTCTAAAGGCCCTTTCTTTCATTTCTGCTTTTCTTAAGCTCACTTGAGAGAAGCCAAAATCACTATAATCCTGACTTTTGACCTTGGGTAGCTGATGTGAAATGGCCCATAAACTCATTCTAAGAAAAGATTACTTAATGCCATTTCTGTATTATCGTGGAATTAAATCCTCTTTCTCAAACTCACTTTTACATTCTCTTTCTCAGGTCAGAAACGCAACCTCAATTTTATGGATTTGGGGGAAAATTATAGTCATTGAGTCATTCCATATTGTGAGGTAGCATAATGCATTGGGTAGGAGCCCATAGCTATACTTAAGTCCTAGCTCTTTGACCTTGTACATACTACCAGACCTATCTGGGACTTACATTCTTCATGAAATGAGGACAAAGGCAGTAGCTATGTTACAGGGCTATGGTGAGGCTTGTAGGAGAGGATGTATGTAAAGCATTTAGTATGGTGTCTGACTATAATTCACAGGCAATAAAAATAAGCCGTTCTTATTGTTACTATTATTTTTATTCAACTTTACATTAATAGCATCTGCCACAAGAGTTGACACAGAATAAGCACTCAAGAAATATTTACTAAATGAATGACTAGGACAAGTCTAGTCCCTTTGTTCCTCCTGTGCTCTTACAATAGTTTATGTTATTTTATGATAGAATTCAAAAAGGACTTGCCACCCTTATGTCCTTTTGTGACCAGAAGAATCCATCTGAAAATGTGATGCTAAATAATTTGGTATCTCCAGCTATTATCCTATTGAAAGAATATCTGTTGCACTCATATTTACTCAGAAGCTTCTCTTTAAAATAAATCAAAATGCTTGCACACACTTACTAAGTGAGCACACTCATTAAGAGTTTTATTGCAGAGATTTCTAATCTATTTGTTGGAACAGATTCTTTTCAAGAATTGGTGCAATTTGTTGACACCCAAAAGTCAAACTAAGTTAGGATTGATGTGACAAGTAGAAATAATCATTTCTAGAATCATTTGCCCTTTTTTCCTTTTTACAGATATACCATATCTATAAAGATGATAGATGATAGATAGATAAATAGATAGATAGGTAGATAGATAGGTAGATAGATAGATAGATAGATAGATAGGTAGGTAGATAGATAGATAGATAGATAGATAGATAGATGTTTTGAGATTAATTTTACTATTTCATAGATTCTGGATAATTATCACCAAGCTTTTCACCTCAGGACATCAGCAAAAGTTTTCATATCAGTAAACACAGGTTGAACAAGTGCCTTTAAAAACCGGTCCCATTCCTTTCATGTTCTTTCTCACATGATTTCCCTCATCTGCCTTGCTGGACAGATAGAATCTTATGAGCATGTCAGCTTGCCAAATAATTGAAATTCTTTTCAGTAATATAGGATCCAAATCAAAAACATTCCTGGAGACTAGTAAATTTACAAATGTTATTGCTTATACAGATGTGTGTTGGAATGAAATAAAATGCTAGGTATGACAAGAACAAATTATAGAACTATGAGGCTGCCTTCAGGCACATGAATATATACATGAGGGTAGAAATATTTTGGTGGGAATCATTACTAAGGATGTGGGATCTTTGAAACAATATTTGGGAACAGAGGATTCCAAGTTAAAACCAAGGGGCCCAGTCAATAAATATTTCTTGAGCACTAATTATGTGACAATCACAGAGGATACGGCTGCGAATGAGACACACACAGCCCTACACTGGGCTTGTAGCCAGATGCAGAAAACAGACATTAAGTAAGCAAATAAATAATCCAGGAGAGTGCAGTGCTCTAAAGAAGTTCAGGGTCTAGTTGGATTTATGGTAAGTGTAGGTTAGGGAGGAGAGGGATCTTACTTAGTCTGGGAGGCTAAGAAAGGCTTCTTTCTCAAGGAAATGGTGCCTACAACAAGACTTAAGGAAAGAAGGGAAATGGTGTGGCTAGGAAAGCAGGGAAATTCCTCTCTCTAGGCGAAGAGTACACCATTGACAAAGACCCATGCGGAGAGTTGAGAGAAATCTAGTGCATTAGCTTGCTAGGGCTGCTGTAGCAAAGAACCGCAGGCTGGATGGCTTAAACAACAGAAATTTATTGTCTCACAGTTCTGGAGTCTAGAAGTCCAACATCAAGGCATTGGCAGGGTTGGCTCCCTCTAAAGACTATGAGGGAGAATCTGTTTCATGTTTCTCTGCAGTTGCTGGTAGATTGCTAGCAATCTCTGGTGTGTTTTGACTTGTGAAAGCATCACTGATTTCTGCCTATCTCTTCATATGGTGTTCTCTCTGTGTGTGTTTATGTCTAAATTTCCCCCTTCTGTAAGAAACCTAGTCATATTAGATTAGAGGTCCACCCTGCTTCAGAGTGACCTTGTGTTCACTAATTATGTCTGCAATGGCCCTATATCCAAAGAAGGTCGCATTCTGAAGTACTGGGAGTTAGAACTTCAATGTATAACAGTTTAGGGGAATGTAATTCAGTTCATAATGCCCAGCATGCCTAGCCTGGGGAGAGGGATAAGGATTGTGTTTTGATGTGGTATTAGAAAGATAATTAGGGGGGCGTCTGGGTGGCTCAGTCGGTTAAACGTCCAACTTTGGCTCAGGTCATGATCTCATCGTTCGTGGGTTCAAGCCCCACGTCGGGCTCTGTGCTGACAGCCAGCTCAGAGCCTGGAGCCTGTTTCAGATCTTGTGCCTCCCTCTCTCTCTGACCCTCCCCTGCTCACGCTGTCTCTCTCTCTCTCTCTCTCTCTCAGAAATAAATTTTTTAAAAATACATTTAAAAAAATGAAAGATAATTGGAGTCCAGGCACATAACACATTTTTACGTCAGGTTAGGATTTTGCATATTTTTCTAAGGGCCATGGCAAGGCATTTAATAGTTAGGGTTTTTAAAACATTTTTAATGTCTATTTATTTTTGAGAGGTGGGCAGGTGGGAAGAGGGCAGAGAGAGAGGGAGACACAGAATCCAAAGCAGAACCCAAAGCAAGCTCCAGGGTCTGAGCTGTCAGCACAGATCCGATGCTGGACTTGAACCTATGAACCAGGAGTTCATGACCTGAGCTGAAGTTGGACACTCAGCCCACTGAGCCACCCAGGGGCCCCTATCAGTTAGTTTTAAGCAAGGAAATAGAAGCTATCAGATTTGTGTCTTTAAGGGGTTGCTCTGGTTTCAGGGTGGGAGACTGATTTGTAGGTGGGTGAGACACTAATTATATCACATCCCTGCACTTCTCTTCATTAGCATTCTTTTAGTTCTTCTCTTAGATCTGCTTCTCCCTACCCCAATGCCATGAATGCCATTTACCCGGTCTTCGGGGTACCTAAATCTCTTCCTTGTGGGAAATACTGTTTTGGGAAACTTTCTATGCTACTGAATTCATTTGTATTACAGAGTTTAACTTGGCACGAAGGATTTAATGAACTTAACTCTTGATCTTTTGAGAGCACTGATACTTCACACTGGAGCTCTGATGAACGTATTGCTAATAAAAGTGTTTCGCAATGAATAAAAAGACAATTTGTGTGTGGGTATTAAATTCATATAAAATCAAGTATTTAAGTCTGGGCTTTTACAAAGTCATGGGAAGGTTCTGGAAGTTCCTTTTTGGTCAATGGCTTGCATAAACAAAAAGCAAGTCTGATTCAGGTGACCTTCCCAGAGCTCCTTCTGGCTGTCCCCTGTAAGCTGCAGGATTTCAGGTCTCAGACCCCACATTATCCGCAAGCCCTCGTGGGTACTTATGCTGATAGGCAGAAAACTACTTTTAGTGATCTAATCTTCTCATAGGATTACGGCTGGGGATAATACTTTACTAAATGCCCGTGGGAATTTAAAGATAGCCTTTGTAGTGAAGGTAATCTATTGTCATACCGCATGGTAGTAAATTGGAAGGATATTGGAAGTGATTAACAGACCAATTAAAAGATATAATGAAGGGGCCTGTGAGTCTAAGTTGCTAAGAGAGAAGAAAGAGCCATCATTTAAAAATTGATCTGAAACCTTAACATGGGCTTCTGTGATCATTGTCAGGATACACAGGTCACTCTTTTTGTTGTACTCTTTTTTTTTTAATATTTTTATTTATTTCTAAGAGAGAGAGAGACAGCGTGAGCAGGGGAGGGTCAGAGGGAGAGGGAGATACAGACTGAAACAGGCTCCAGGCTCTGAGCTGGCAGTCAGCACAGAGCCCGACGCGGGGCTCGAACCCACGAACCGCGAGATCATGACCTAAGCGAAAGTCGGAGGCTTAACCGACTAAGCCACCCAGGCGCCCCTCTTTTTGTTTTACTCTTAAAGCAAAAGTCTCTGTTTCTTTTGTTACATGTATTAACATTCAGAACTGGAACATACTTGAGCAATTCTTTGTTCAGGACCTTCTCCGCTAGATAGGGGTCATGTTATAAGCTAATTTAACAAAGAGAACCCGAGCTAAAGTAGTCTAAGAGAAGTGCTTTTTCTTTTCTCTCCCATAGGTCGTGGTGTAGGCCTAGAGATAAGTGATATAAGTGGTTGGACTTCAATGTTCAGTGACGTCTGTCAGGAGCCCAGGCTGGTGGGGAGGCTCTGCTATCCCCATCCTGTGGCTCCCAGGCCGGATCTAAGGTAGTAACTGCGGTTGTCATTACCCAACCAGTGGGAGCAGGAAGAATTTAGGGAAGTGGCCTCATCTTTAAAGAAATGGTATAAAGAAGGCAAAGTCACCTTTGGTATTTCCTGACCACTTCTAGCTAAAACAGTGTCTAGCTAGGCACCCCTGTGCCTAAATAAAACATGGGGGGATTTATTACTAAAATGGATGCTGGGGGAATGAATGGTTTCATTATACTTTCATCCTCTGATGGGGGAATTAAGACCCAGAGAAGGGAAGTGATGAGCCAAAGTCCCATGGCTGTTGAAACTTAGATTTCCAGACTCTTAGTAAGGACCAAACTTCACTAAATGTCCCTGGAAACTGGCCCTTTCCCTTTCCCTTCATATTGCTGATATTTAGAAATAAAATCAACTGGACAAAGGTCAGGAGTTTATCATTTGATTTTCAGGCATTTATAAGAATTAATTAAAACAATTTATTAATGTTTATTTTAGAGAGAGAGGGCACATGTGAGGGAGGGGTAGAGAGAGACGGAGACACAGAATTTCAAGCAGGCTCAAGGCTCTGAACTGTCAGTCAGCACAGAACTTGACGTGTAGCTCAAACTCATGAACTATGAGATCATGACCTGAGTTAAAGTCAGATGCTTATCCAACTGAGCCATCCAGACTCCCCAGGAATTAATTATTTTTAAGGATTGGTCTGAAAGGGCTTTCAGTACTGAATTGTTTATCAGAATAGAAAGGTAACAGTAAGCTTTTCTTTACTTGCTTTAGAATAGTTTTCATCATACCAATATGCTGCTCTCAATCCTAAATTCATATTGACCCATCTTTGCTCCCTTTATACATTTTCAAATTAAAAATATAGCTTTCTGAGGAAATCTGTCACTGATGACTCTAGTTAGCTTTGTCATATATCATCTTTCATTCTGAAATTATCACACCATTTGCTCAAAGTACAGGTAACTTGACATAGAATGTGATCACTCCATTTCTATTAATAGAATTCTTTAATTCCTATTTTCATAGATCTCTTCCCCACCACTTCATTGAGAGAAACATGAATCAAGCAAACTAAATAGGCAAGTATTGGGTATGAGATTTCATAAGTGTGGAAACAAAGAACTATATTTCATTCTTTTGTTGATATCTGTATTAAATGTAATACTTTTCAAAAAGATCTAATTTATCTCTGTTTTGTTCTTAGAATTGTACTGCCTTTGAGGGAGTTTCTGACTAATGTTAAAAAATCTGTGTCTAAAAGTGGTGCGTCAGATTCTCTTGGGCTTTGTCAGGTAATAAGATTTCAGTTTCTGTTTTCTCTCGATCAGTTCTGGGCAAGATTGCTTCCCCTTTATGGGATAGCAACGTTTTAGCTCCAGAGATGATATCTGTCTCCGTTACACACTGGAGAAAGCCTAGAGTTGTATTTTTCTGAGATGAAGATGTTTTAATACTATATATCCCCTTATACGACTATTCAAGGCGTGTTTGTGACTAAATATTAAGACTTTTAAAGGCCCTTAGGAAAACAAGTATTAGGATAGAAGTTGTTTTCGTTAGATATAGTAAAGGTAGTTTTTCTTGTCCCTTTCTTAAATTTCCTGAATTTGTTTATCAAGTCTTGCCAACTCTAAGAATAACATACAAAGGGGGAAGTGAGAATGCAGGTACTCAAAACAATGGTTGGATCATTTTATTCCTAAATTCAAACATTTGAAATTTTATTTTTCTTATATTGGATCTTTTTTATTTAAGAGAACTTTGCTCGGTAACTTTCTTGCCCTACCTCCAAACAAACCAACATTTTTCTACCTTCTCTTTTCTCATTTATATATTTCTATTACACATTCCCTTATTCAGACCTAGACACATCATGCTGGTTTGTCTCCAAGTAGGAACCGCATAAAAACCCAGTAGGTGAGACAGGAAGCCGGCAAAATGGAAAGCTTCTGCTTATTATTGGTACCCAGGAACTGTACTCATAGACTAGCTATATTATCAACCTCTGCTTCATAGACTTCTGTTTGCTCTGAACTGATTCTTGACCCCTTGTCTGGTAGCCTTTGTCTACTAGAATTAAGGCATACTTCCACTGCCCATGGCTCATAGGGTTCCAGAACACCTTAACTTATATGCTCTGGGCCCTTTGCGGAGTCTGACCCAATTCTATAGACCATCCCAGGTCCCTGGCCTTGTCTCAGCTTTCTTAATGATCTCATGTCCATGACTAATATAATTTCTTCTTTAAAAGGCTATGAGCAAGCAGCTATGTCATGTTAGAAATTTCAAAAGGAATGCCTGGGTGGCTCAGTTGGTTAAGCGTCCAACTCTTGATGTCAGCTCAGGTCATGATCTCATGCACGAAGCCTGCTTGGGATTCTCTCTCCCTCTCTTTGTACCCCTCCCCCACGCGTGTGCACATTCTCTCTCTCTCTCTTTTTCTCTTTCTCTCTCTCTTGCACACCTGTGCATGCATGAAAAGAAATTTCAAAAATTCAAGGAATATATAATAATATTGCTCCTTCCAGTGAAAGTTTAACAGCAAAATCAAAACGCATTTATTTAATTTAATTATGTATATATAATTCATTTTAATTACATGCATGGTGTTTATTGTGCTAGGAATAACATTTTAATAGTAAGCTATCAATTGAAATGAAAATAGTAATATTTCTATACAGCTAAGGTAAATAAGATAGACTAGAAAGTAGGTCAGAGACGGGAGAATACAAGTCTATTACTTTAGTTTTCTCTTCTCTTGATCAATTTCTTCCTCCTCAAATCCCAAAGTATTATTTTAAGACAATTTCTGCCCATACTCAAGCCTTTACTTTGAAAAATCCTAAAACAAGACAATAAATCATTATCTACCTGTTCTAAGTTTCTAGAAGCTGGGGTAGGTAAATAAGTCAGCCAAGAATTAAAAGGTTCAGTTATGCTCCGTTTGGTTTTCTTAGAAACAAAAGGAGAATTGCCACCTTAGAGAAACTCATTCAGATGATTAGAAAGCTAAGTTGGCAGATGCTAATAAAGAAGGAAAAGAAGTGCATGTCTATTGGAGTATTTTTAAAAATTTTTTAATGTTTATTTTATTTTTGAGTGAGAGAGAGAGAGAGAGAGAGAGCGCATGATCGGGGGAGGGGCAGAGAGAGAGGGAGACACAGAATCTGGAAGCAGGCCCCAGACTCTGAGCTGTCAGCACAGAGCCTGATGTGGGGGCTTGTACTCACGAACCACGAGATCATGACCCGAGCAGGAGTCAGATGCTTAACCAACTAAGCCACCCAGATGCCCCTGGTTTTTTTTAAATATACTTTTAAAAGTAATGTTTTCATTTTTATTGTAATTTCAAATTATCAATAAAATAAGAAAATACAAAAACAAAAAGAAAATGCCATGCACAGATTACTACTCTTATGGGGAATTTTAATCTTAAGAACTGAAGAAGGAGGTGACATGTCATTGGGAAATAAAGATGAAATAAATAAAGATGCAGGGCACAAAAATGGCATTTTTACAACACTGTCACATCACCATTCAATCAGATTACTTTCCTAAAACCAGCTTTTAAAGATGGCAGTATGGCTGAGTAAAGAGGTCATTTTGGTGGGCGGAAAGAATATAGGATTAAGATTCTTTTTTTTCTTTATTTTTTTTAATTTTAATCTTACAAAACGTTTATATATTTATTTTGAGAGAGCGAGAGAGTGCAGGTAGGGGAGGGGCAGAAAGAGGGAGAGAGAAAATCCCAAGCAGGTTCCATGCTGTTAACACAGAGCCTGACACAGGGCTCAGTCCGTCATCCTTGGGATTAGGATCTGAGATGAAATCAAGATTCAAACGCTCACTGGATTGAGCCACTCAGACGTCCCAGGATTAGAAATTTTTATAGAGAGAATTGTGAAGGTGCCAAAGAAGGGAGCCTGGAGGCTGAAAGAAGGGGAAGCAAACCTCCCCTATTTGCTTTGCTTGTTACTATAGGTTTTGCTCACTCTCTTCTTAGACACTTAGATATCTAATTCTTTTCAAGTCAGTACTTTACTTCCTCCTCTTTCTAGTACCCTCTCTTACATAGCTCTTCCACACCCTTGGCTCTCACAGAAATAATAATAATAATAGTAATAGTAATGCCTAAAGCAACTACTGTTTATATAACACATTACAGCTTACAAATGCTTTCATATATATGATCAAACTTAATATGCTATTAGCATTCATTCATTCATTCAACTAACATGTAATAATTACTGGCTAACTTTTTTTTTAATTTTTAATGTTTTATTTATTTCTGAGAGGGAGAGAGAGACAGCGTGAGCAGGGGAGGGTCAGAGAGAGAGGGAGACACAGAATCTGAAACAGGCTTGAGGCTCTGAGCTGTCAGCACAGAGCCCGACGCGGGGCTGAACCCACAAACCGTGAGATCATGACCTGAGCCGAAGTTGGACACTTAACCAACTGAGCCACCCAGGCGCCCCACTGGCTAACTTTCTAAGTGAAATGAAAAGGGCTTTTATTCAAATCTAGGATTCAGCTCTAGGACTTCTTACTCTAAGTATTCTATTTTTTTTCCACGGTGTCTTGAATACTGAACTAAAGGGTTAGTGAGCTTGAGTTTCTGTGACCAGGATCTTTAGCGCTCTATAAAAATAATTTGTTTCTGATGAAATTTTAAGCCCTGGCATTTGTTTGGACCTAATTTTTAATGGATATCATGTCCTAAATTCATTTGTATGTAAATATCTTATGCCAATAGACACTGAAGAATTTCTTTGATTCAGACATGATATCTTGCTATACAAAATCCAAGGGATTTTTCTTTCCTTTCCTTTCCTTTCCTTTCCTTTCCTTTCCTTTCCTTTCCTTTCCTTTCCTTTCCTTTCCTTTCCTTTCCTTTTCCTTTTCTTTTCCTTTACTTTTCTCTTCTCTTCTCTTCTCTTCTTTTTTTGAGAGACAGGGAGACACAGAGCATGAGTGGGAGTGGGCAGAGTAACATGGAGACACACAATCTGAAGCAGGCTTCAGGCTCCAAGCTGTCAGGACA